GTTACCACACACTCAAATCGCTATGCACTCCGGCGCAGAGTAGAAATTGACTAGAGGTCAATTAGATGACAGCACAAACTCAACCTTGTGTGGACAGAGAGGCGTGGTGCAATCAGAAGTATCAGTGAATAGGACAGGCCAATGTGGTTCGGCATGCACAGAAGTTGCCCCTGTTACTCCGCAAACCGGGACCTAAAAGGCCTTCCGTTAGCTGGCTGATCAAATATAGTATTGGAAACGTAATTCATGATAAATATCAGCCTCTAGAACGCTGGGGCAATAGACCCAACAGCACTTTGTTGACCTATTTGCCCATTGGCTGTTTCTTTCATTCGACCCGCTCATGGTTTTGGGCTGCCTACTCTCTTCCTTTATTTCAACATTGCCACCGACTTTATCATGAAATGTACACTTCAAGAGATAATGAATGTAGGTATCGAAATCATGACTGGATATAGGTTAATGAACTTGCGTTATGTGGGCAATATCTTTTTACTGCTTGAAGATCATTAGTTAACTCAAAGTACTTTAAACAGATGGTGAAGCGGTCACATATTTTGGCATGCACTTTACACGGTTTTACTTCAGGACTCCTCAGCTTTTGCTCCTCTGAAACCTGAGTTTGTTTATTGGTTTATATATGTTGGCTGCACAAGCCGCAGTCGTGTCCTAATAAATAAGAGTTATGCACGAATGAAAAAAGTTGCGGGCCGAACTGTGTCAGGGAAAAGTATTTTTCTGAAACTAAATACTGGTGCAAACAAAGCAACTGTAAGAGCTGTTCTGCTTCATGTTTGTGAGGTTTGGTCCATCCGATCCGAAGACCCGAGACATCTTCGAAATTTCGACCACTGGTGTCTCTGCAACATAGCAAGAGTTGGCTGGTTGTGGTGAGTATACAATGAATTGTTGCGTAAGCCCATGTATTACGCATGCCTAGCCACCGCATACTCATGAAAATGTTGCATGCGGTTCTAACCACTGCTGACAAACTGCTCAAGAGAGGTAGATCATGAAGTGAGAATGCAAAACGGAAGGGTTTACAGTGAGACCAGGTGGTTTGGAACATTCGCTCCTTCAGGGCTGAGGTTCACGTGATCTTGCTCTCAGGTGATTGAAAAGCCTGAAGGACATAGCTCCCAGCCGACCCTGGTGGTGTGCACGCGGCCCTTTCCTAACCGGATTGTCTAGCTAACGTTTGCCCTGAGTTTGCGCTGGCCCATGTCTTGACTAGTTCGAAAAGGAAGCTGGTGGCACCTAATCTCCATATTATGCTCAGATTTATTTACTTTAACGCTATTCAAAGTTGTAGGCACCCTATTCTTGATGGTCTCCCTCAAGGGTTTCTTCTACTTTCTCATCACCTTTCACTAAGGCTTTCTTCTGTCACGGCAGTATCGCAGTTGGGCGCGTGTATTACTGGCGTATTGCTGTCAGTAATAATAATAATATCTGCGATCTAGTGGCAACATGAGTCTGTATGGACTACCAAGGCGCGTCGTTGATAAGAAGAATCGGGGCATCGCTGAACAACGGCACATTTGACTTGCTACACTCTCATTACCACACCTGTCGCGAAGCAAACGCCCTGAGCTGCGTGATCACTAAAGAAAATCGGAAGGTGGAAATTGGAATTTTGTGGAATTTGGTCAAAAGTGTGTGCGATAGTCGTATTTTGGTTAATACGAGTAAATGCCTTAGCAGCTGTAAACCAAGCGACTGTCCACATTATCTATCCAGGATCATTCATAGTAGTTAGAATCCCATAAACACTGCCCATCGTGAGCGCGTCTTACTGAGTTCTAAATCAGACGGATTACGCATCTAATTCACCTGTTTACCACCCACCTGTGTACCAAATCTTATAGCCTACGTACCAGTGTGACCGGGAGCTTGATCATTGTTCACAAAAATAGCCGTCGAAGAACATATTATTATTCGTTTTCGTCCTCATCGGTATTTCGAGTCTGAATCTTTACGGTGCACTTCGAATTCTCCACTTATCCTAATTAGTGTTAAGAATTCACGCACTGAACCTCGGTCAAATTAGAAAAATTTATTGCATTCTATCCATAAAGAGGTTGTAGGTACCTGAACGCGTTCATAAGCCACGTGGCATCTAGCTTGATGCCCATCGGCGAAGACATTTATCATTTTGACTTTGTCTGTGCCGCACGCAGAACGAGTTTTCGGGCCCATTGGCAATTCTCTGAGGATGACAAATCTCGATGACAAATCAGCGCTGTTTTTGAGGCTGGAAATGTGACGCTTCCGCCTCACAAAACTCTTGGTTATTGATCAACTCATCGCAAACTTATTGGAAGAAACCTAAAGTTGATATCGTCCTAAGGATACCGAAAGCCCTGAAAGAATCCCAAACCTTCTGCCACTGGAAGCTGTTTCCGAACCGTATATCACAAATATGGTATGGAAGAAAAGAGCCATTCGGGAGCGGAAACTCTGAGGAGTAATCTACTCTGCAGCTCAACTACTGTGGACACTGCTCGCCGTTATACCGAGGTAATTAGAACGAGAAGCTGATGCAACGTACAAAGCTTTGCAAATTTCATCAAGATTTTCGGGAATGTCTTGAAATGATATCCACCCCCGGTTAATAGTTTCTCCTAAACAGGAAACAACTGCAGTAAAAGACCACTTTCCAGTAGGGGCCTACTTTTGGAAGGTTACTTTACTTAGATGAACTTGATATATTGTGATCTAAATAACGATATTTCAACTTTTCAACTTTAAGAGGTGAATCATGACAAAAGCAGTCAAATGGTTCATTTTTTGAACCAGACTATGAAAAACACTGGCGTCGCTCGTTCTCTCAGGTTTAGCGCCATGTCCGGTGACTGCGAGCATACTTTCAAGCAGTTTAGAAAAGATTAATGACCACGTCAAGTTTCAGTGTAAAAAAATTAACTCGTAAATCGAAAATTAGGAAAATATTTGGCTTTGGGGTTGATGTTGTAACAAGACCGCCGTGACTAGTCCTCAGAAACGATTTCGGAAAGTGTGCTAAACGTCAACAATTCTGTGTTGTTGAATTTTCATATCCGTTCGCCCTTAAACCGACTTCATTCATGAAATGTTTTCACGTTTTCACGAACTTTAATTAGTCCGATTTGTAAGGTGACCTAACTTGCTTACCAGAATAGACTGGCGACTTGAGTACTTCAAGCGTCAGGTCAACAGGGAGCGGACGATGCCAATCAAAACTATAGATTTTCCACACATTCAGAAAGATAGTGAATGACTTCCACGCGAGTTTTGCATTCATGCCTGTCGAGAACACTTTGCTCTCATATCAATTCCCATATCACGTGGCATCGTTCGAAGCTTTTAGGTAGGAATGTCATTCATTGACTTCGTCACTGGCAGTAGATTGTCCAGCTGCGTAATGCTTCACGCCAAAGCTGGAATAACTAAACTCCTTCCTGTCCATCATTAGACCCTATCGGCGATGCATCCACTCAACACCGTGGTTCGAACTCTGATATTCAAGTTACCCGGATTTTTGTTATCACTTAGGGTAATTCATATTAATTCCTTCTCAGACTACCCGGTGCATACGCGTCGATGTTACCCACGTATTGTGCCTATGCGGTTGTGTTCACAGACTGACCAACGCACATGATGGTTCTATTCATGATTCAGTGTCCAGCCAGAGGCCACCAGTAGGCGACCTATTCTGGGTACAGGACAAAACGCAGTTGATGTGAACTCACCAGAATGGTTGCTCCAGGGTAGAAGGATGACTTTTCAAACGCAAATGACGTGAGCACGAATCCTACAAATCCCGCAACCACCACCAACACAATACACTTGTCGATTAGTTAGAACACTCTCCGGATAAAGATACGATCCTCTTCAAGGGAACATTCATGAGAACAAGAAGTTAGGCTATGCATCCCATTAACTTTCACATTTCCCCTTCGAACTTTGATCTTTAAGGTCACTTGTGACAGCAGTTGACTTTACAATTTCCTGACCTAATTCACCCTCGCCCCAGTTTTCCACCACAGTTCCATTTAGTTTCTCTGAGCTGAGTCATCCCAATTCTAATTCGTCATACCTACCTGAACACCAAGGTCGACATCGATTGGAATGCAATACAAATCTGCGACGTTGTCGTCACCTGCAGTGACGACTCGAGGAGTCTAATTCACCAAACCCAACTCCTGAATGTTTGCACGCAAGTGTCACCATATATAAAGATAGATAGCATTTGGTTTGTTGAATACTCTTAAAGTCTGGCGAAGCGCTTCAGACGAAAATATTGCGTTACGCTAAACAGACGGAAAATCCTAAGTGGTGTAGTAACCATTTTGTCTGCATGTGATATGTATCCGACGCGTTTTGCCTCCATTGTATAGCTTGCTTGTTTCACCATAACCAACCCCAAGGGAACTATTACAACCGCCAACATACATGTTTCAGTCACACAGCAACTGTTTCAGACCAGCCTCTTATACTAGAAATGAACAAAAGTCGCTCACCACTGGTACTCATACGAAGTGTACCGCTGCTGCCTACCTAACTCACCCACTTAACTGAATACAGAAGCTAAAGTTATGCGCCCGCCGCCTAATGATCACACTGATACTTTTGGTACCGTTGAAAGAGCAATTGCTACAGCTTTTCATTGACGGCCAAGCTGACTAAAGAGTAATTCACAGGCTGGGTCACTTTTTCTCCCCAACTACCGACTAAAAGCGGTGTCCCCGGTGGTGTCACTTTTCCTATTTTTGTACGCAACGTATGGGTCCACCCCTGGCTTTATCTTGTGCAGGTCCGGTGACGACATCGTGGCTGGCTGGGGCTATCGAGTATCTGGAACACATCTACACATTTATTGTTATAAGCTCTACTGAAGGAAGGTATTCGCTGATCAATAAAGTAGATCAGAAAAAGATGGGGACTCTGTGTAAAGCCACTTAGTTTTTGTGGGTAATGACCGTCCCCCTTCGTATTAAAATAAAACACAGTAAATAAGGCAGAAAAACACTTTATAGTCTGGAAAGAAGTTAACAAATGCATATGACGTTTGTGTTCCTAGCAATTCAATCAAAACTACTGAGATCTATTGTTGAGCCTCTTGAGCCAGTTGACGAAAGGCAGACAATGCAGCTTCATGACGAGCGTCCTCCAGGGTACGGCCTGAAGCTCGAACGACAATCCCGTGAATAGGGTCGGCGGTGGCACCGTGGGGATCAACTGTGGCCGGTGACAAACTGCCGCCAATCGATAAAACTGTGTTGTACTGATAAGCCTCCGGTGACCGTTCCTGTAAAGCAACAGGGGTTGAAATTAGGGCCAAGAAGACCAAGATAGAATGGATGAAAGTGTAAAAAAATAAGAAAACGTAAAACTCCGCCAAGTCAGAAATGGTTTTCGGATATGTAGCAGAGGCTCAAATAGGTCGAAAACAGGTCCAGTTGAAAAAAAGCAACCCGAGGCGAGATGGTCGACGTATCTATCGCTCTTCAATAAAAAATAGACTATACTGAGAAATAAAGGGATCGAAGGAATCTATTTTGGGGTCTATTATACAAAGCGAAGTTAACCCATCCTGAAAAGGAACGAGCTATTACAAAGTCATATAGACCTACAAATGCAGCCTGCAATCAGTAACTGGCAGGTCACATGAACCGAGGCTGCGTGGCTCCAGGACATGTGAGGTCATCATAACCACCCTCATAGACAGTATGACATCAGTGATACTTCGCTGCCTTACAGCAGTGATTCATTTGAAAGCCCTATTGTGAAGAAAAGAACAAAGTTGGATAGATAAGGGACTTAGCGCTACCTTACTACAGTCATTCCTGGATGCCTACACATCCGAACACTCAGCCAGGCAATCTGGTTAGAAATTGGCAACAATAACGCCACCGAAATCGATTAGCAGCCTTCAATCAGGCAGTACCTTTCTGGAAGGGAGGCAACACTGACAGCACTCAGACTTCTCGTAATCCCTTTCATACCCGTCTACTAGGTCACCTTGGCTTCCTGTGTTCACCAGACTTCACGGTTCGTTCGCACGTTCACTTTCACTTGACATCTGACGATCGTCACGTCAAGTTAGGTTCAGGACCGGAGGGGATATCTCTCCGAGACTTATGCTCGAGATTTAAACCACCATTCGATTTGATATCCGGTGCTTGAGTGAGCCTGGTGGCGACGTACCACAGGCAAAACTCCCAGGCAATCTCATCCTAGTAAGAATTCAAATCTGAACGTGGACCGTTCGGTTGAGACTCTAGAAGACGATTCTGGTAAGTTCGTCCAACATCCGTGTCTACCAGTCTTTCAGTTGCCGGGTGATTTTCCCTCATCTCACGCGGCCCTCGAAAATGAAGCGAGAAGCGGTTCCAGATAAGTGCGTGGTCGGAATCTACAGATGCATTCCAAGACGACCGGCAGTCAGTTAATGGTCCGTGCCATCGGTAACTGATTGCGATGCGATCAATGTGAGTTCGTACCGAGACGTCTTTGGATGATACCATGTAACCAGACGACTACGGCTATTTCGGAAGTTTCTACTGCATAAAAACTGTCTGAGATTATTACACAGCTGTAGCGCCGTTTCGGTGCCCAACTGCCATGCCACCAAAAGGCTAGTATACTGCCCAGTCGCCCAAACCTAGACAGGGGAACTCAAGAGGCAGAGGTCGGATCAACATACAGCTGAGGCAATCGTTCACCATTGTCCTTACGTATCGGGTCCAATCCGTGCCGACATCCTAATTGAGCCTCAGATTGTCCAAGCATGTACACTTGTGCATTCGGATCTCCGGAAACCACAACAATAGCTGAGCATCTAGCTCACTGCAACAAAGCATTCAGGATGTCGCAAAACATGCATTTGACAGCGTCAGAGTAAGCAAACACGATAAACAGACATCGATCAACTTCCCGCTTGTGAGACTCCCTCACTGACAATGCCAGACGAACCGCACAGAGGCGACTATCAACGGGTATACAGTGAGTCGAAGATCCTTCCACCAGGTGACTTGGGACGATAACAATCCCTGCACATCCGACCACGGCAGAATCTGGATCGCCAGAGTTGCGCAACCGGAAACGAGTGGAAAGTGATAGGGCGGTCAGGTAAACCACTGTGACTGCGCTTTGAATTCTTGTTTCTGATACACAGCACATATCATGCCAAGCGAGTACAGTGTGAGAGCAAGAACAGCTTGTTGACCTGCTTGCTTCGGAGTGTGGACATTGAAGGCGGCCAGGCTTGATGATTAATTTTAGGATGCCTGAGGATTTCGTGCCGGGTCGCGCGCAGATGTTGCTTGCAAAACCGATGCGGGACGAACGGTTTCATCAGTCGTAAGTGCTGGACCCACAATGAGAATGTTATTGGTGGGGTGGGGGAGGGGGACGAAATAGTATGTGAAAGAGGAAGAAGGGAAGCGTTAGCAGTATCATGATTTTGCTTACCCACCCTGTTTTCTGCAGCGAGTAAGGTGACCCGGTTGATGCCACAGCGCGACGGCCAATATGACATGAATGTGTTGTTCGACGTGAGTATCATGGTTGTACGTGAGCTTGGAAACCTTCGGGGCGCCCACAGCTGGGTAGTAGGACAATTAGTGTCCACAACCAAGTTCCTCGTCTAGAAAGCCTGACGTTAATGTAGCAGTGTTTGGTTGGGGATGCAGGTACATTGCCATTTTCACGGAACACGTCGCCACACGTATTCCAACCCCAAACCTGGAGGACCAGGAGACCGTGTGTTTCAGACCTCTAACCACTGACCAACCTGGTATGAGAGACTGTGAATGTCGCGCAGATAACCCCCTCAATGAGTTACGGAGATACACAAATCGTCACCCACAATAAGCCCCAGTCACTTGGTGATCGTGAAGGTGTCAGCCTAACTTTGACGGAAGTAGTATCCGGAAGACCGCCGGTTAGAATGGTGCTCAGGACCCGTATTACCCAACAGCGGTTCAAATATGGTAGTCAACACTGGACCCGCAACAAGAGATTGGTACATACTGCGATGTGACGATTTGTTCACCTCCACAACTCACTCATCCATACTGGGAAGTGTACATGTGATACTCAGAGGTTGTTGGGCGAGATGGCTCAAGTGGTCAGACTGCGAATTTACTAACCGGAAGGTCCGTGGTTCGAACTGGACTTCCCCTGTCTAGGCTTGGGCAACCTGGCAGCACCCCAGCCCTCGTGCTTCCTCTAGATGACATGGCAGTTAGGCACCGAAAGGGTGCAGTCAGAAGTTCTAGTTTTATTCTATGCACCGTTTCAGACCTGTCAATAATAGTAAACGCGACCAAAAAAACATCAAGGTAACGACTTTTCCAAACAAAAAGGGATTTCGTTGGTGTCTCAGTCGAAGATACCTACCGAGCCGTTCAAACTGGATGGTGGTGCTTGATCCACAAACTGACAAGGAACTCGTAAACGTTGACAAAGTGATATAAGCAGACGCGCGGCTGTGGGCGAACTGGAAGATTTCAGTGAACTAGCACTGATTGACTTTGTGGTCAAAAACACTTCTTCCAAGTAGAACACAGCCAGTTGGGCTAGTAGACGAAGATTGGAGCGCGAAGGAATTGGAGCTGCTGTGTCTGCCGACTGCATTGAGGTTAATTCGGTGATACACATGGGGTCGGATGAGGAGTTGGAAATCACCACAGCGCAGGTGTCGCGGTTGGCCAGATCTGAGCAACTTCGTGTTCGTCGTAGAGACCAACATCGACCAATAGTTTGGGCTTCCTTGGATTCTAGATGGGGAGAGAAGGAACATCAGGTGGGAGAGGTTCTTTCAATTGTTGTACATTTTGGTGGAGGCTCCAAGGCATACGTTGACTGAAGTTGGTCAAGCTAATTCACGGACCTACGGCAAGTCAAGACTAGAATGTAATGACAAACCTCCACAAACAAATCCACAAACCTCCACACAAGAACTCGCGTCACCTTGAGCACCACATTATAGAAGCGAAAGTTAACAATAGGGGCGAGATGGCTCAGTGGTAACAGCACGAATTTGCTGACCGGAAGGTCCGTGCTTCGAACCCGACCTCTGACTCTCGACTTACCATGTCTAGGTTTGGGCCACCGGGCAGTATCCCGGTCCTCGTGATTCCTTCTTGTAGCATGGCAGCTAGGCACCGAAAGGGTGCTACAACTGAACGACGCCATGAATACCCTGTTGCGGCGAGCAACGACAATGGCAAATTTTCAGCCATCCATCGCTTCCGATTACGACCCGCCTTCAGAATCTCTTTGAGGTTGTAATACTAGTCAAAGGCTAAGTTCAAATAGTCTATCCTGTCAGTCAGCAAGTGATGCCCTAAACGAGGGTGCAACTGCTACACCAGCCTCATCGATCTTACGCACAAGCGTGGGTCAAATAGATGAACTTCACACGCCGATACCTGCACCACCTTCAGCAAGGGTTCTCCGAGCACATACGTCGTTTCATCACAGCCAAAAATAGAGAGAAAACATGCAACAACGCCAAGACTTACCTGACCAATGTCCGATTGGCGTATTGCTGAAGAAATCAGATGTAACATCCTGTTGTGAGTAGGAAAAAGGCAACGATATAAAAGAAGTCAATATGAGTAGGGAGTGAGACAACTCATGATGAGAGGATCACAAGCTTGACCTGATACTAACCACGAGGCTGCTGATTACTTTTCGAGGCAATCTTATAGTGTTGAGTATAGAAGAATTTGGCATAAAGTTCCAACTGAAGCATAAAACAGCATTTGTGCAGCATGTTCAGGTGAAAACCATTATAAGCAAGAGAACCAGGTGATATTCAGTTTAGTTTCTTATTAATACCAAGCTGATTTGCAAATAAGCGTATAACTCCAGTTACGTACAATTTTGTATTTACGTGAGAAATAAGGTTGGTGGAAATTCAGAACTAAGCCACAAGGGTAGTGAAACCGGCAGTGGGCTGCCGAATAGTTTTTAACACTCTTATATAGCTTCGGTATCTTGAATATCGTTCCAAGTGCAACATTAGACTGCCTTTGTGGAGCATATTTAGTTGAAGATAATCATTGGCTTACATCCATTTGAGTCTCCCGTTAACAGCAAACTTCGGTAACGAGCAATCCCACGAGCTGTCGTTAGTCGATGAACGACGGTTGAGACTGGCGTCGAGCTACCCTTTATTCAGATCCACGATAATCAAATTGAGAGGATTGATTTTTAGTTGCCTCACTGTAGCACATGATTTAGAACTCTTGTCTTGACGGATTTACCGAGAACGAGGCCTTCTAACAATGAGTCATTTTGATGAAACCAATACTAAGGAATTCAATTCATTTTTCGAACGGCGCAGTTGGCAGTGGTATTCGGTATCACAGTCTATCCGACCGCTTCACTTATTACATCTGGCGGTAGTCTATCAATCTTCACAAGGTCGGCTATCTCCGTGTCGGATAACACAAGTAAACTTGTGCCATAGCAGTTGAGCACTTATGCACAAAACGGTGAATACTAAGCTGGTCTCATCAACCATATTCCTCCATCGTAACTGCACGAACACCAAAGGAGGCACATCGTGGCGGCATCACAAACTTTGATAATTCGATGCGTGAACTATCCGATTGAGTGCACTTATATATTCTGGCAACCGAATGGAACACCTAACCACTTCATGCGCATCGCGCTCCTTGCCTATCCATTTTCACTCCACTCATCCTCCATGCACACTCATGAAGGTTCAAATGACATAAAAGACTATGCCTCTAGCATCACAGCAAATAACCTCATTAGGATCAGTCTCTCCTTCTCCCTCCTTCGGCATGTGACGTGGTTGGTGGAAGGTATGCGACTTGATCACATACTCACAAACTGTTTTGATTTGTATGGTGTATAAAGAAGAACTCGTCTCAGTAGGTTCGACCATTCGTTTGTTCTCTTTCACCCTACACTCTCCTTCTGACTGTCGTCCTTTTATCTGAAGGGTGAACCTCGAACCTCATACGACCGGAACGCGAACGATAATGTGCGTACGTACAGTGAGCATCCTTTGGGGCCGAGCAAACAGATAAAAGAGGGTCGGTGTTAACACAATCCTAGGAGTAGGTAGTTATCACACGTGGGCAGGTGGACGCCTCCAAATTAAGGGTTGGTGCTCGTCGTGCAATCTCTGCACACTTCAGGGATTAAGTATCCATATTACTTAACTGACTTGAGCTTAGTACAGGTTGACGATGAATTGGCTCAAATCAGGGTAAAACGAAATAGATCTGTCCCAAAGTTGACGCTGATTCACATGCTAGAATTCACACCCTAACCGAATCGTGCGTAAAATAAAAGGAAAGATCTGCTATGTGGCCTTGAGGTAAAACACCTGTACCTGAACAGAACACAGAGGTACACCTGCGAATGCAACCTAAACAACCTCTGGGAAGCTAAAAGTAGAGAAGCAATGGCTGCACACCAAAAATGAAGACAGTTAGTAATAGGAGAACCAGCCCCAAACGTAAATGGACTACACAACTGCCAATGGAATAACGTTTTTCGATGAGACAGATTTACTTGGTTGTTCTTGAACTGCCTCTGACAGACAAGTTCTACTTTTAGCATCACTTTTTGGCCCGCCTGGAACTTTCCAGACTTTAGAGCTTTAGAAACAGCCCTTTTTCGGCTGCTTATGCCCTGCATGTACGGATCAGTGTTCAATAGATCACCTGATTCACACACTCATTGGCTTTCTGGTTTGGCTAAGCGCATCAGGCTATCAAGCGGCTATCCAGACTAGGGTTCACGGTATTAAGGCATTCAGAAAACTGTGTCCCACAACAGGTAGAAAAAGACGACAGCAGACTGACGTTTACCACAGAATGAGATTCTGATATCGTCTTCCAAAGCGAGGAAGTGCTGGATGACTTCGACTTCGATGAACGGTTCGATCGGCTGAAAAGCAAAGAGTGAGCGTCTCTCATTGAAACCGATCAAGCAATGAATTGGGCGAGTACCTAACCAAAAAACATGACCATGAATCATGATGCTCTAATAATCACTGATATGTTGACGGATTAAGTGACAAATGGTGCATAATGCGATCCACCAAATAAATGAACCACCATCCAGGACGATACTTACTATTTATTTCCCTTCTACGAAGAGTAAGAGGGAAACATAAGTAGCAGTACTACAGTAATCTATGTGTGGTTGGGATTAGCTCCAGTTACGCGTTATTACTTTTTTGCTCAACTCCTACTTGTGAACTGGGAAATCTGCTTGAACTACTACACAAGGCGCTATGGTACCATCTAAAGTCCTTGAAAGTAAAAGAATAAAAGTGTTAGCAAGAACTGCATTAGTATCGAAGGCACACCCGGATAAATATCTGAGCTAACTGAATGAACGCAGCCAAGTCCACTGCAGATAAACTTACCGAGAACCCATCTCGCAATACCTAATTGGACAGGTCAGTCGATCGGATGTCAATCGTTCAGCTGAACGCTCCTTCGGTTCATAAATGCCATGCCACCCGAAGGAAGCAAGGGGGCTGAGGTACTGCCAGGGTGCCCAAGCCGACACAGGAATATTCGAGGTTCCGAGGTTGGTTTCGAACCATAGACCTTCGGGTTAGCAAGTTCGCGCCCAAACCACTGAGCCACTCGATCAGATGTGTCACAGAGAGATTTTTGGATATGCTTACAAGCATTGGTTTACTTATGACAACATTAATTGATTTATACGACATCCAGTACATTAAAATAGCATTCATTAGCTAATACTCATAGTGAAGGCCAATGATCCCTTAATTGACAGTTTCAGGCTGTTGACTAAAAAGTACGCGCCGGACGGCTGTGAATTCAAATTGGAATGTGGGATTCTAGTCCATCTGCTTGTGGACAACTTTCACTACTACTAACAGTAAAGGTAGTATATCCTGTTTTCGTTGAAACAAGATTAAGCATGCGGACATGCGAGAACTTGAACCCAGATCGTCAAAACAGAAGACCACGGTGCCACCCAACGGGAAGAAAGGAAGCGTTCAGCCATTAGCCGGAAGGTCGCAGGTTAGATACTGTCTGATTTTCGTGAGACGCTTATTGCTGACGACTCCCAAAAAGGATGAAACAGCTTTCCAGCATAGATGGGGTTGGATGAGAGGACAGAATCTCAATTGGGAAAGACATTGGCCAACCATTTGCTCAATTTGATAAACAGCTACTAACCCAATAAACGTTTAAGGAAACCTGCCCCTTCTGATTATTTCCATTCGAATTAGTCCAATCGCGAATTAGGGTATAGCTTGAGAACAGTGAAATTCGGGCATAAACAAATGTGGGAGTTTCATCCCGATTCTATTGTTCCACTAATCTCTGCACCGAAACCGCTGAATAAAAAAAACCTACCTACAGGGAATACTTGATCCAGTCCCTTCGATTTCGTTATCAACAAGTTTACTGGTACTATGGCAATTGATGAATGATTTATCATCAATCATTGAAGCGCACTGCACGCTCAAGTACTGAGAGAATGCCTTGCCGAACGAGGGTTCTACCAACTAGCTCCTGAGCTGCAGAATACACCCATGCCCCGAAAATTCACAGATGCTTTGCCACACATCTACTTAATGAATTAACAGTTGGCATTTGTTGGCGCATTAGTGAGCCTTACTGATTAAATTCCGCAGCGATGTTGCTGTCATCCATATACCAAAAGGGTATTGGTGTGGAACTCCCAGGTGTCTCTTTGTTCACACTAAAAAAGATATGGAATACGAAAAGTAAAAACGGAATCCTATATTGAGACAGATCAATAATAAGTATAAAGACGAATAACGATAGATGACCCGTATGACCCGGTTTTAGCAGTAGGTTGGGTCGACTTGGAACATCCACCTTCGTCGTCACGCAGACAGACATTTGAACAGGTTGGCCCGTAAAATTTATGCAACGAGTACCGAATAGATGTATCATCCTCGATCATCGGCGGTCAAGTGTTGCATAATTAATTTTTCGATCACGAAAATAACCATCCTCGCAGTAGCCCCTGTCTTCGTACATAAAGTTTGGATAACTCAAACCCAAATTATGATGACTAGGATCATTCTTCCGTCGCTCTCCATCCGACTGATTAATCAGTAGACTCGTAAAAAGAGTTGCACTCCACCCCGATGATCTTATTTCCTGCTACTGTGCGAAGAAAAAAGGATCCCAACTGCACAAGTATACAGGACAAATGACAAGGAAAACACATACCACGATTGGTGACCGAATACTCTGAATGAACACCGAGGAACCGGGCGGTCCAATATCAACACATCATGCGTACAACTAAATTCCACGTGTCGTTGCTGAAACGATACGAAGAGCAGGAAGAGAGGTGACGAAAGTTGAAGCCAATATTTGATGTTTGTCGACGAACAATGACGAGGCTAAACAAGCAAATGCGGACTTTCGCATGAACCGATCACCAAATGACTGGTGCGATGTAGCGACAGCATAACAATGGAACGTAACTGACACTGTGTATAAAAACACCGGAAGAAACAAACCTGAGAATAGCTTTTAACGGATGGAACGCCGTCAGCGACGTCCTGGGAAGATGGATCTGGAGAACAACACAATAGAGATCGTTAGGACCAAGTCGGGCAGTGCAAGTCAAAATTGGAGACATTTATCAAAACGGTAAGGCCAATCAAATGTACTGTTTCCGAGAAGGACTCTTAGAAAAATTGGGGTGAAAAAGAGTCCGCTGGAGAGTACGCTGACTCGTGCGTAATATGGACTGAGAAAAGCGGGACGCCTATTTAGTATAAGAAGCGGAACAGTTGATTTCAGCCAGGTTTGGATACTGGTTAGATTGGTTGTCAAACGGAGAAAAAAAGCCATACGAAATAAGCTAGTTCATAAGACCGGGGAAACAACGAAAGGAGCGAGAATCAGTTTGTTTCCAAATGGATAGTACAAACTGCGGGACGAAGCCGTCACTAGATCGACCGAGACGCTCCACTTGTTCATCAAGGAATACAAAAGAGGCGTAAAAATCTAAGCCGTATTATTGGGTTGAGTAGGGATGTGCTCGGATCCCGAAAAGCTCATTTACACGTGTCCCTTCGTTCGTAGTAGGACTCAATAGGTTAGCGTAGAAAGAAACGACGCGCGATCACTGATTAGAGATTTCACGCTGCGGATTATAGGAACGCTTGCTGACCGGTCTGTACAGCTGATTTGCTCGGTCCCAATAGGTATCAAAAGCCTCTCGGGGTTCAGTTTTTCAGGGCCTAATTATACCATCGTCATAACTTTCGGTAGATCTATCGAGAGCCCACCGAGGATAGATGGTTGTTCATCAAAAGTAAGACTACCTAAATAAGTAAACCGTTGGTTGAAACAGTTTCCATCTGACCCAAAGCGTCTGGTTTCGTATGAACTCATTTCTACGTAGACCACAAGGGAGTCAGAAACCAGCTGACTATAAGTAGTATGAGGGATAAGGTAAGTGGACAATGTGGTAGCAACCGTTTTATAGGACAAGAGATGGCTTACTGATGAAAAAATCTTTGGCTTGACCCCACTTTGCACTTTTTGGTTGCTGTAGCCTATTCGGACATTATTCGGATATTATGGTTGTCTTCGATTGTTATTCCGGTTGCCTGGTACTGTGTGTCAAAAGGTGTCCCAATTAGAGCCAAAGGAAAGTGGGAAGAAGCTAGTTGCATGGGTCATGGTAGTCTTCTCCATAACGGTTAATGATAGGAAAGCATGGCAAGTTATTTTTGGCGAACACCAGAGAGAAACTCACCCCCGTAATGACGATGTCACCTCGATTGGTGAGGAAACGTTTGCAATTCAACTACCAAGCTCGGCGAACAGCCAACAACCAAGCAGCACACCCAAGGTACCTATATTCCACAGCTTCACCAGCAAAACAGAGCCAGTGACTACCCTAGTATATGCTCGCAGTGATACGGAGGAGTAACAAGCAGTTAACTCATTGGCAGACAGATGTAAAAATATTCCAGGACGGGGCTAACATGACCCTCCGAGTAATTTGTATAGGAGGGAAGCCGTCATCGACCAATATCAGCGGTCGTTTCAACCCGGGTCGCTTGATCTGTGTAGCATAGCTATTAAGTCTTCCTCTTCTTCGAAACGGGCTTTACATACAATTGTGTTACGAATGTACGGGAGCGAAGAATTAATTTTGCTGACATGGATGATCATAATGAGCCGACGAATCTCCAAGTGGAATTCTCATGAGTACGAAAAAACCATGACAACAGATACCGTGACAAGAGGGGAGGGAAGAAATTGGAGAAGAGTTTGAAGCGCCTCCCTCTGTATAAACATCTTCCGGAGTGTGTTGTACCGAGCTGCAGTAAGTAGAACGTAACGCGCTTTGAACTTGTGGAGAATTCGGACGTTGGAAACCCAAGGCTTCCAGCATAACTTCGGCAGCCATTCTCCTCGCTAGACGCTTATTCCTCCCACGTGGTCCGACAGTCTGACGAGTACCAACCCGGACCTGGGAATAAACAACCACACCATTGAGTTCAGTGCGCAAGGGCGTTATGGTTATAGCAAAGAGGCAACCGCGAGTGTGAAAACAAAAGTGGTGTTCGACTGATATAGAAATAGATCAATTTATATAAATAAAGCCCTACTATTAGGACGAAACGGGAGGGCTGTTACCACCAACAATAACAGTGGTGAACATACACCTCAAAACACTCACTCAGACAATCAGAACGGAAGCACCATGAACGTCATTGACATCAACTAGCGGACACATATTGCACTGTCTCGTCCACCCATATAGACGATAGGACAGAGGGACCTCGTCCTATAAAAGGGATCTCATCGACAGCACCCACACGTTTCACAACCTCTGACAGCCCCTTCTGCATTTCATAAATTGCCAGCTAGTCTGCTCAGCATCATGAATTCGTCATGAAAAAAACGCCCTCAACGGTAGACGACCATTCGGTACACGGGGCACATGACCGAGTTGGTGAGGCCTAAAGGTTAACACACAATTCATAAGCTAGGTAGCTGCTTTCTTTCTCTTTAGACATACGTCCTGTCGCTTTCCTTCTTACACCGTCAAGTTTTCCCTCTTCTACCCTATCCCACCCGAATTTGAATACACTCTTCGCAGGTTCCAGAACCATGACTGACCATATTACTCGCCATGCGTCACACTTAGCTGCCGCCTCCGTACGTCCGACCTCAGCAACAACCCCAAACAAGTAGAAGTCTGTTTTCAAACCCCGAATACCTGTCTACGTAGCTGCCTTTAATGTTCACAGCACAACAGTTGACTCTTGCTCGCACGGTGAATTCCCTTTGCACTGATGTGTACTGTCTGTTAGAACCAAGGATACAGGACACAAGTACTGTGATCGAATGACCAACAAGGATACAGGACACAAGTACTGTGATCGAACTGATGACCCGATCGCTCTCTTCTAGGTTCCGGCTGTGAACCTGTGGTGATCTGTTGGCCACTGTAACCCAATATATCAGGGTGGGTGTTGTATTGGGTGACCGAGCGCAAGCATCTGTACTTGAATGAATACCCGTTGACAGTCGACTCTGCGCCGTTCGTTTGGCAGAAGATGGGGTCCATCGTACCGTTTTTGTGTCTGCTTATGCTCCAACTGACTGTAGCTCTGAGTTTTTAGCGACCTAGGTCATATTTTACAGCGGACTAAAAGCCCAGACATTGTTGTGGTTTCTGGTGACATGGACGCCCAGGTGGACAGACCAAGCGCCGCTGGGGCACGACTGGGTGGTCGTCTTGGACTGGACATAAAATGCACCGACAACCGAGATCGCCTGCTTCAGATGTGTGCGAAATACGGACTGTTTCTTTGCAGTACAACTTTCGTGAAGGGCGAGAATCGCTTGACAATGTGGTGGCCGACAAACGAACTGACCCTGAATCCAAATAGACCACATCGTCGTCAAATGTCGGCGGCGAGGTTCGATCACTGCTTGCCGCTCCATCTGGAACACCGGCGTAGACTCCGACCATGCATTTGCAGACCGTTACCTTTCATTGCCTTTTTCAGGTCGAAGCAATGTACGCACTAAATAGCGGAACACGTCTGTATGCTCGGTACCGTCAAAGGCAGTCCCACCTCAGGACTGCTGTTTCCCACCTCCAAACAATCAATACAGTACCACCTAGGCCTTCTGTGGAATGATAGCTGTACAGATTGCAACGACCGAAACAATTAGGACTGCGTTTTTTTCACTAAAACACATATCATGAACAGATCACACAGGACAGCTTACATCCATGGATTCATCCTACCTCCCAGGCGACTACCCCATGTGGTTGGGCTAACGTATCGTTACGTAGCTGTCAAATCGATGCTGCTGAGTAAAGATAAAGGTTGGCGGAATACCAAAGCTTCTTATTCCAGTGAGTAACATGTACTCACTGTAGTAGGAAACAATCATCCCGGAATGCATAGCTGTCCTAATTTTTTATGTGACAGCTGGACACAATGAAACTCTAAAAGCTTCCACTGCTTTCTTCAAAAGTCGGACGGCAACAACAGAAGCGAAATCGCCTGCCAACTTTGACGAGATCTGCCAAACACAGGATATCCGTTCTACGACACCCACTGTGTTACCTGGATACGTTTGTTCACAGATTAGTGGACAGGTGACTTACCTCATAAGCGAATTCAGGTGGTACATGGTGTGAAGTCATGCGTCCGCCGGGAGATGTCGAGAGAGATGTACCGTCGTGGACCAACACATACACCGGTCGACCAAGTGCCTGCGCTAAGCAGAAGTAGTCCAGCCGCTGAACCGGATTCACATCTTGACCATAGGCTGGATTGGTGCGGTCCACCTTGAACTGAGATCTAGCCTAAAACAAGTATGTGATTCGGTGGCTGGCTTACCTTGGTCGGTGGATTCTTCGACCTGGGCTTCATAAACGGATGTCTGCTAGGGAACGGGCTTGGGTAGCTTTGGTATTCCGGTTTATCATGCACTGTTTGCTGAATCAGGCGGTCAATCATCAGTTTGGCTGCACTAGTTCGGGCCATGACCTTCGACTTTCCAATGCACTCAACCGTCCCGAGGGACGGTACTGAACAGATACACTGATAAAATGCCTTTGCTGTACAAGTCTCATCCAATGTATCGTCCATGGGAGTCCAGAATGTCTGTGAATAGCAGTCACCGTGTTGAAGATATGTCATGAACTGATATGATTGTTCTTGAGGCATAAACAAACTGAACTACCCCGAAGTATAACAGTGACTGATCATGCAAACAGTAGTAAAGTAAATGAGTGAAAAGCGAACCAGAAATGAGCGGGAACGAGTGAGATTTGAAAGTTAGACACTGTACTCACGAACTTGAGGCTTTTGTATTGAAAAGAGATAATAATCGAAGAAATCCAAGTGAAATAAAACTGCTCCCAAAGTCGAACAAACAGCTTGATCAGATAAGCTTTTTTAATGGAGAGCTGTAAGAAGTTTTCAACCAGTCCCCAAAAGATTATACGAACCCCAATCACAGATCTCACAATCGCACCGTTCTAATCTACTCCGGTGTCCGCTCATTGTAAGTCACAATGGAGTTAATGTGGGGTCCGGAAAAGTCACCCGTATGCGTAAAGTATTTGTTGTGCATGTGCGATCCAAACTATCTTTGAATGAATCATTAGTGAGCACCAAAACGGTAGCGCACTACCAACGAGTTTTAAAAAATCTTAGAACGCGCACACTTCTGTTTTTTTCTTGCTCTGATTGTCACAGCCAACAGGAAACAACGAGTACCCCTTGATTGTCAGACTTCTTTTGGCATGCGCCTCGCACCTTCAAAGTGCAAAGTCATTCTCTAGAACGTGCCATCTGCCGACATACCCCTTACAATTCAAGGAGAACCACTGGGGATTGTGGAAAACTTTACATACCTCGGTAGTTGTATTAGCTCTGACGGAAGTGTGTCTGATGAAGTCAGTGCAAGAATCTCAAAGGCTCGAATCACGTTTGCTAATTTGCGTCACTTGTGGCGTCAAAAAACATCTCACTGGATCTTAGGGGCGTGTGTACCAAGCTACAGTAACGGCTGTGTTATTGTATGGATGCGAGACATGGCCTCTGCTGGTAGAGGATGTGAGGTGTCTTCAGGTTTTCGACCATCGATGCCTCAGAAGCGTGACTGGTTGTGAATGGCGTCGGCGTGTCAGTAACGAGGTGATTAGAAAACGGGTATTTGGTTGTGCTGCAGGCACCGGGAAAACATCCAGCATCATCGACTGCGGTGGCTCGGTCATGTGATACGCATGCCGAAGCACCGTCTACCGAGACGAGTATTGTTCTCCGTGCCTCCTTCAGGATGGCGAAAACCGCGAGGTGGACAGCACATGACTTGGCAGAAAGGTGTGAAAGAGATCACGAAGAGTTTGGGTGTTGTTGGTATTATACGCCTTCCAGGATGGGGTCCCCGTGACCCCGTCTGTGCTTGGCTGGAGACGTTGCAAGAAATTGCGGCTACTCGATGTCAGTGGCTTTCGTGCTGTCAGTTTCTTTCAAGGTTGTCTGATTGAGCGGTTGGAGGTGTAGGCACCTCAGAATGCTTGGCATAGGCCATCACGAAGTCCCCTCCCTCACCCACTATTTTTCTCTTCTTTTCACCCTAGGGCAGTGAGGCATCAGTGCCAACACTGATGTTGCTGTCTCTGATGATGATGATGACGATGGTGATGATGATTGTCAAGCTAATCATCAAACAGGCTTGAAGTGTTCATTACCAGAGAAACCCGCGTCTCTAAGGGCGTCGTCTCACAGTGATAGATGCAACTTACTCTAAATAGGGGTCGTTCGTGATGAAGACCGACCAACAGTTGTAATTTCCAGATAGGATCGGTGGGACGTATATGCAATCGCTGACCAAGTTGAGAAGGACGATGGTGTTCAGAGTTCACAAACGTCGCAGATGAAGTCAAGATACGACGTATGGCCTGAAGGGAAAAAAGTCGCACGTATTACGCAGCCAAGGCACTGTAATAAAAACATAGAAAGAGCTCAAAGGTCTCAGCCGGATAGAGACTCCCTAAACAGGAGCACATTTTTCTCCGGAATATTTTAGGATGCGGAACCCAGTGTCACTGAAATGATAACGCCATGAACTAGATCAAAATACCTAAGTAAACTGACCATCATCAGGCTAAGAAGACTATCTAGCACGCTGTTAAAGCAATGAGCAAGTTCTGAGTCCGTTTATCGGGAGTGAACTCTCATCAAATGGACAACAATGCAGGAATGAAAACTGACGCTCAACTGCCAAACAACTAAAGAAGAAGAAGGGTTTGACGAAAAGAAAGGGTAGGATGTTGCTTATTACAAAAACCCCTAGGTATCTAGGCCAACAGCAAGGTGCCTGTACCCCAAAAAAATCATTGAAGCAGATACACTCGAGCATTACATTGGAGCAGGATATCATCATCCGACAAAGCGCCCTCTAAGTTTCATCAAACAGAGACCCAGATCGGAAAGAGAGAAGAGTGTCAGCTCGGCAGCCCGGTTAGGAAGTGATAGCAGGATTGCCACCAATTAGAATCGGTAACCACGCGCATTGAAAATCACGTGGTTTCGACTTAGGAGTCGTTCAGCTGTAACACCCTTCCGGTGCCAAGCTGCCATGCCACCCCAAGGAAGGACGAGAACTGAGATACTGCAGGTTGCCCAAGCCTAGACGGGAGAAGTCGAGAAGCAGAAGTCGGGTTCGAACCACGGACCTTTTGGTCGGTAAATTCGTGCTCTAACCACCTGAGCCATCACTACTCAGGAAGGCGTAAAGAACCTCCCAAAGTACGTAATTTGATAAAAGTAGCCCTCATTTCGCGCTGCCATAACATGTCCCCTCTACAGAGAGCCTTTATCAACAAGGGGTTGGATTGGAAAACGCAGAATTCTTTGGTAAATGCGGTAAAATCAGAACATGTCCAAATGCATGTGTTGCTCCAACGGGGCAGACCTTGTAACACGTACGCACTCCGGCCAAAAATGCAAACCAAAAGTGAAACGTAACTAGTACTAGGGCAACTTCGCCAGTTGACTGCAATGAACTAGTGAGTGTAAAGGTTAACCGCTCCCTGGGAGTAGATGGACAAAGTGGTTGGAGCGCGAACTTACTGACCGAAAGGTCCGTGGTTCGAACCCAACTTATGCCTCTCGACGTTCCCTGTCTAGGCTTGGGCGACCTGGCAGTATCCCAGCCCCCGTGCCTCCTTCGTGTGGCATGGCAGTTAGGCACCGAAAGGGTGCTACAGCCGAACGATTGTTTAACCGCTCCATTCATTATCAACAAGGACAGCAACATCAGAGTTGACACTGATGCTTCGCTGCCGTACAACCGCTCCCTTGGGTGTGAATGCACGTGGAAAAAATACCCTGTGGGTAAGGAAAGGTTTTCTGTCAACAGAGGTTAGAGGGATTACTCCGTGCTTCACACCAAATGTTTCGAAAATCACTTGAGCCATACCACAATAAACAGACCACATGCCATTTCTTAGAAACGTCTTCTGTCCTTCCTCCGTGCAGATTCCACCATCTCTATTTTTCACCTTGTCTTTTTTTCACATTAGAAAGCCCTTACGTGCACTTTGCTGTCCCACCGGCTCCCATTATCGATTATCCGAAACTTCTGTAATCATCATTACTCGCTAGATTCGTTATATGGTTCCTGCTACTAATAAAGTGACAGCAGTGGAGTAACACGATTGTTTAAACTCGAACACAACGTGGTCAACCGACGACAAAGCAGAGATACACACACATGGAGAAACTGACCTTCAAAGCGGCCACAGACGCCTCCTGTTCGGCTCCTGTGACAGAGGTGCTCTCACCCACATATTGCCTTCCCACCATTTCCAGGGCCACGCGGTACATGGCAACAGAAGCCTTCTGGTCACACGTAGCTGTTGAAGTTGGGGATCCGTGAAGCTTAAGGAACCTGACAGGAACATTGATCACCCTTGCTAATTCCAGAATATCGTTGCGAGGACCACGTGCACTGGGTACATCATCTATGAGATTCCGGAAACATTGGCACTGAAATAAAGGCAGATCATCAGAACACGTTTTAGAAAACAGCCGCTTCCAGAATGTGCCTGGCTGACGAAGTAACAAAATAGGAACGAACTAAGGTGAATGAATGCGGAAACTTTGCTTAGGACAAAGTCAAACTAAAGAGAAACCACGCGTTTGGATTTAGTTTAAATGTGCGCAAATGAGCTCCAGATAGTTGAGCAGTTCAGGTGTAGAACCTGAGGGTTTGTAGTTCGAAACCACCCCTAGGTTTTAGATTGCTCCTGTCTGTGCTTGGTCAAACTGACAGTATCTCAGTTTCCGTCCGTCCTTCGAGCCTCACGACAGATATGTTATGAAAGGGTATTGTAGCTATAGCACTACTATGAGCAGTGCTGGTTCGGTGCATAAGGACTAAGTTCTCGAACCCGATTCACTTACATTGGGAGTCGGAGTAGGTTTTATCATTTTTAAACTCATTACAATATATGAACCAAGGTTGTCAATAAGATACACGGAGAGGTAGTGATAGATTGATCTGAAGGGTATGACAGTACCAACGGAGATGTAACCAACACAGTGAACCCTACTAGGATGAAAACCCTGTTTCCAGTGAAAATCCGGGCTAGCCACATTACTCTCACGTAATATCTATTCTGAACAAAGTGTTTAAAGTGCATTATGACACCAACCTTTTCATCCAACGCGCGGGGTCGTTGGCGGCGCCCATTATTAGCAAGAAGGGATTTAAAAAAGGGAGAGTTTTCTAGCACCGTAGTGGCCACGGACTGCTTCGCAGCCTGGATATTCCTGCCCACGGCTTCAAACACTTCCGGTTGTAGAGAGTCCTCAGTGAAAATGGTCAACTTGACGAGAAACATCCGACTGTGAGGAGCACCATATTCATCAACCAGATTCCAACTTATTCGGACGTGGTGCCTACGAGCTAATTTGTGAAACAGCGACAAAGGGGTTTCCGAGATCTCCTTGACTGTTGTCAATAGCGAGGCTTTCGACATAGGCCGTGCTGAAACGGGGATGAAATAGCTATGAAACCCAGAACAAATAGAAGGTAGCTGGAATGAGAACATCATCAATTTCTGTTTGGATATCACCCAACCTAAACCTGTCACCTTGTCCCGGTGGTCACGCTTCTGCGCTGCAACAGTTCTGCCGGCCATACTGGCTAAAACTCAATTCCTAGAGGCCAAACGATGCCGGGAAGGCCAACACGGAACAGCCCGACGAAGAACAGCGAGTGCCCGTAGTGCGAGTAATCGTATTACGAGGCGGTCTGGAGGTGAAGTCGTACTGTCCCTTGCTATAGGAGTGTGAAAACAATAAGTCGATTGCTCTAGGCGACGAGGATGTCCACATCCATGGAAGCAGCGATGCTGTCTCCACCAAGGAAGGATAATTTAGAAAAGATAGACCCAGAAAACCGCACACTCCGATCGCTCAACGGTTGATCGTGACCACCGGTGCATTACTCAGTACGGTCGAGATACTTTTAAAACCGAAGAGTCCGGTTGTACGGGGGCCAGTCGACCCTAATAACCGAACATAACATCACCTGGATGGATGTGTCATGTGCAGTACAGGGCCCAAACGAAGGCATGCTCTGATTGGTCAGAATACCAGGCAATCTGGATCGAGCAACTTTGACTCGACGCTTCTCGCCCCCTCACGGTGATTCTAACACGACGTTGTGGAACACTTTGTGATTACCCTATAAATACAGATGTAATGATTTTCATTTTGTCTCCACAAAGGGCTGTCTAGAGCTACCGTGCAGGAATCCAAAGGACCGGTCCAGAGCTGCACGATCGTCCATCAAGACACAACAGCTGGCGACAACCCGAACCCACTATGTCAATTTCGGCAGAGCAACTCCAACTAATTTTACAGCAACAACAGTAGCAGTTCGAAGAAGCTCAAATGAGGCTTGTTGGATCTCTGATGCGCAGCATGTCGGTGAATGCGAGAAAGACGGTAGAGCCTCCGTCTTCTTCCACAGATACTGCTGCCAGCTCGAGTACTGAATTCAATTTAGCTGCTGAATCTGGACGAACTTTCAAAAGTTGATTCAAGAAATATGAAGGCATGTTTCAACCCGACAATGCTCATTTTCATGATGCCGTGGCGTTTTATCCCTTCATTGCGCTTCCATTATATCACTGCGTATTTCGTCAATTGCGTAATGGTTTTTTTGCATGAACACAAAAAACTACAAAGCCGAGCACTTGTACAATTTAACGCAATACAGACGTGGTCGCCGCTGGCTATTCGCACAATGGGATTGATTTCTCTAAATCAACGGCATTTTCAGACTTGCCACTTCATAGTGTAGAATGTCCATATATAATGCATACGCTCCTGTATTATTGAAAATCATTTACTATGGTGATTTGTTTAAGTGAGCGAATGCTCAAGGTCAATAAACACCACTCCTTGTGAATAAGTTGCCTGATGATAAAAAATCGCTAATTATGGAAAACGTTGACTCACTTACAATAAACGTAACTTTCAGGTAGTTTTCAACCGGAAGAAATTTCCTCAACATTCAGGAATCTTATTGGCCTTTGGAGATGCAAAATATGCGTAGATGCATTCGTGCAAACACATTTTGGTCGATGCTTCCTGTTGCCAGTAAAAAATTCCGTAGTGCACGTTGATTATTTGCTAAAGTCTTGCAAGTTTGGAGGCAAAAACCAGAGTTTTCCATTATAGGTTGTGAATTGTGCTAGGAAGACCTGGAACTACATCGACTGGGAACATGGAACATACGTCGATCATAGCGGACAGCTGAACGAACCTAACCGACGCACACGACTAACATGTGGCTATGGGTACACGATGCTCACCCATCCACCTGTAACGGAGAAAAGGCTCAAAATTGGTCTTGAAATTTTGAGATTGGTCGTTTTGAAGTTTACATATGTCCTTCTGGGAGGCACATTATCTTCATCGTGAGGAGTGCTCATTTTGCCGCTGAAGTCCTGAAATGAGAGGAAGATATAATTCAGGTTATCGAAATATTACCATAGGGCGGGCGGCCGACAAACAGGTAGAGATACTTACCCCAAAATTCACTCCAGCGACTGTGTGGTCGTAGATGCCTGTTCACACAATGCCATCAGTGGTTATTCCGCATGTCTGTTCACTGCACTTTTAAAAAAATACGAGACTTACATGAAATGCAAAGGGCCTCATTAACAGACAAACTTTTCGGAGCGGACGGGTCACATGAAGTCATCTTCGTCTCTTTCATCTAACGGGCACTCTATAGAGTTAATCATAGTTGTCAGAGGTTTACTGACGACTATCCAGTAGTTCCTCTCTGGACTCGAAAACACGGACGCACACAGACTTCCGGGCACACTGTTCTGAGACTCTGTGCTTCGGTCCAGGTCAACAGCATAAGACGCCACCTTTGCGGACCGGGCAGCAAGCACACCTCTGCGTTTTCTGGTTGAGTTCGGAGCTAAGAACCAAAAGTAATTTATTTTCATGTGGGCTCACATTTGGGGCAAGCCTGAAGAGCACAACCACACAGTGGGCAAGTTTCACCGTCACAACAATCGGCGTGATATTACAAGCAATCCGTAGCACACTAGCGGGTACTGGTACTAGTCGGCCGGTCATAGAGCACACAGAAGCCCAAGTCAGCGTTTCCAGACCGCCATCTAGGTTGAGGTTCAGTATCCTCGACCACCAACGGCAGGTCGTCGGTTTCAGACTTTGAGGCTTGACGCAGCAGGATTTGTCCCTGAACAATCAAACGCTTAAAGATGGTTGTGGCCCTCCTGGGTTCCAGCCTTTGAAGCTTATCTATTACTCGGTTCATTTGTTTCCGAAGGCCGTCGAAAGACGTCGGCGGTGGTTTTGGAACAAGTGTAAACGGTACAGCTTTTTCCGGTAGGTTTTAATCCGATAGTCATTGCTGGTGGATTGGAAAGCAAGCTAGTAAAAGGTCAATGATGAATAGTTCTTACTGCTCAGAACGGACTGATCTCGAAATACTGAGAACAGGTGTATGAATGTAAGCCACATCGCCTGGTAGAAAGGGCACGTGCATTCTCCAAAACAGGTGTCAACACTCCGGGAGCATCTGGGTTTTGTACCACAAACTATAAGTTAGTGTACGTGGCTTGACCTCAACTTGTTTGTTCCAACACATTCATACGGGAGTCGCGGCGGTCGCGAACCCAAGTGCCTCAAAACTAGAGAGCATGCATATGTCGTCATTCGACAAACCACGTTTAGAACGTAAGCGTCCCCTCCAGGATTTGCCGCCTGTAGCAGTGGTACGACGTATGCATCTCGAACTCCCGCATAAGCCACTCGGCGTGCCGGGACGCCTTTTGAATTGCTTGTTCCAAAGGGTCGGAGTGGTGCACCCGATCTTTAAGGCGGCCGCTCGCTTTTTCCATTACCGCAGTGAACCATTCCGGACTGTTCGTGTATGGCCCATTTTCGGGTGATGTACAACCAGCGAGCCGTAAGATAGGAAAGAAATAAAGGATCGGTGCGGCACTGAAGCTGCAGGTCTTGCCGGAATCTGTGCGCATGTAATACGATGAATAATAAACCTATTGTATAGCATTGTCTAGGCGAGCCATGCGGTGAAATATTTGCCGGCTATTCGCAGAATGTGTCTATGTCCAAAAATACATGGATAATAAATGACACATACGTGCTTCCTAATGGCTTCGAGGACATGAAATTAGCGAAGCATAACGTCAGAGCCGAGCGCGACCCTTGCTGCACGCATATGCGCCGCCAGCTTGTCCATTACAAATGTCTCAACGTGATACGTTTCGCCCAACATTGCTTTGAATAAGCCGAACAGTTTACTTATGGGAGCAGACTAATCGCGCTGTACGAACGCATACATAACCGGACGCCCGGTTCCCACGCCGTCCGTTATCAAGAATGTGTACAGTCTATATCTACATGCTGAATATTAGATTTCTTAAAAAACTTACCCAGGGTGGTTTGTCGCATGCGTTCCGTCTACATTCATTACATCTGAAAAGCGCCGGAATAGCGTTACCTGCTGCCATCGGGAGAAACATACGTGGCTATAGTGACCTTCCTCTGACTGACACACAAGGGCGCGTCCGGTCCACCGAAGTTTTGCCAGGACCGAAAGCATATCCTCTCCCAAATTAGAACCCAAATATGCGGCACCTACCCAACATAGCTGGTCGATACTTCCGGCGGTAGTTGTGTATATTCTTAGTGGTAAGTATCATTCCGAATTAATCCGCCACAAACTGCCGCACCTCACATGACGGCGTTCCATATTTCAGCAGGGCCTTGCAAGTGTCCAGCTCGTCTTCGGTTAGGCGTCAACTAACTGGAAGCCGATCGTACAGAAACTTGAACGATTTGTGGTTGTGTTCAGGAAAATAAGAGGTCACTGTCAGTTGGTTCCTTTGCCTCCGTAGACAAAACCGCGCTGGACAGCTGGCGCTCCGCGTACTTTTTCATTAGAAGATACGCTTGGCTTACTAGCTCCTTCGGATTCTACGGCTTTCCGTTGGTCTTGGAGGGTGCCTGCTGCATTTGTAGTACACCCACTCGTAACGCAGAATAGCGTTGGTGCTTCGATTACCGGATGAACGCACAAATACCACAAAGTTACCCTTCATGTATTGATTTAAGTTCCCCTCAAATGCCGTGAAGGATGAAAAGGATGAAAAAGGATACACCCAAAAATTTCTCAACAATCGATTGTGAAGCCATTACCGAAGCCATAGCACCAAAGTTCAAAGCCGAATGTGCGCCAATAATTTTTAAAGGAGATCGATTAAAACAAATCGAAAAAAGTGACAGCAGATGAGCGCGATTTTTGAATTGATCACATATGCAAAGAAGTGCAACATTTTGACGTTAAAGTTTTTATTTCACCCACAAGTGTTTTTCAGAAAAATGCACTGTGCTTCTAGCCTCTGGCAACGTGGTCACGCTCGTGCTTGCCGCGTTCATTCGCGAGCCTCATGTGCTAACTCTGGTATCAAAACATTTCGGACTCTCTTCGTAATCAATTATATGTGAGAACTGCTGAGAAGAAGACCCCCGGACCACCATAATTGGATTTTCGTTTTTATTCGCCGACCTGGGCCAACGATGAACTATTTTAAAGAGAACAGTTGTTAGTGAGTCTGTTCCATCTGACCTCTTTATTATTGTATGCCCAATCTGGCGTTATCATTTTTATTTCTTCGCCACACACGCTTAGTAACGTAACTTATTAGGCAGCCAGACCGGTATAAATTTGGTGAGCCCGTGTAGTTCTAGATACTTTTTCGCAAACTTTTTCTTTCAAGTCGTTGTGCTTTTGTTTCTTTTGCCGGGTAATAAAGGAGACACACTTTGATTCAGCAGCTTTAGTCAAGAATGCAATTAGCATACGTCTACCAGACGATAATCCGCGCAATCCTAGGGTATGTTTTGACCATGTGGAGACAGTTTTTACTGCCCGATGAATCACTTCCCAAGCCATCCGATTTTCCTATGTTGTCGAGGATCTTCCTTGCAACGTAGCAACAGAAGTGGAAGATCTGTTGAAAGATATTCTTAAGGGAAATCCGCATGATGCCCTTCGAACGGCCGTTATAAGTCGGACAGGGAAATCCGAAAACAAAATTTCACGGGATCTACTCACCACTATCGAAATTGGTGGCAGATCACCATAACAACTGCTTCACCACATGCGCAGTCTCCTCTGCAGCCGTAAGCTGGCCCAACTATGACTCGACAACCTCCCACCCTCCATATCCCGCGTCATCAGTGCTTTGGTTGATGACCACAGCTTGGTGCACTTTGCTTAAATGGCTGATAAGTTACGCGAAACCTACCCCAGTCACTCCGTAAATTCGGTCTCCCGCCCTGCACCCAATACTTCAACAGATTCCGACCCTATTCTCGCTTCCATATCGCAACTGCAAGCTAAGTTTGATACCTCGACTGATCGCCTACAATGGCTAGAGGTCAAAAAGCATTGACCACGTTCACGATCCAGATCGTTGTCTCGTGCCCATCCACGATGGTGCTGGTATCACCAAACTTTCGGTCCTCAACACTCAAATCCCAACCGCCGTGATCCTTCAAGTCGCGTCACAACAACCGTTTAAACACACGGAATGTCAGTAACGGCGACGACTGTCTGTGGCCCTCCTTGTACTAGTCGCCTATTCCACATCACCTATCGTTAAAGTGGTCTACGTTTCCTCTTAGATACGGGAGCCGAAGGTACTGTGCTACCACATAAGAAGCACTTTCCGATTCTGCTTCTTATTCGCTACAAGCAGCTAACGGTACCCGCATCGTTACATACGGCGAACGTTCCCTCACCCTTGACCTTGGATTGCGACATGCGTTCAAGTAAATATTCCTTTTGATCGACGTCAAAACACCCATCATTGGTGCAGACTTTTTGACCCACCACAGCCTATCTAATGTTTGACACCAACGCCGAATGGGCATGCCACCTTCCCTCTCAGTCAACGGAATTAGTGCCCCAACTTCATCCATAGGTATCCGAGTTATCTTACC